GGTTTAAAATATTGCTTCTACATCAGTGGTTATGATAATGCTAGAGAGAAAAAATTTTATGGAAAGTTTCATAAAGTTACTGCTTTAGTCTCTTAATGGCATTGACACAAATATGAGACTCTGTGAAAGGTAAAATACAGGAGGCATGATGCTGCTGCAAATGTCTTTACAGTGAGGGATATAAGGTGAGTACACAGATATGGCTGTGATATAAGGCAGAATATGGAAAGTGCTTTCAAATGTCTTTACACTGAGGGATATAAGGTGAGTACACAGATATGGCTGTGATATAAGGCAGAATATGGAAAGTGCTGCTATAAAGTGCTGCTGTAAAGTGCTGTAATGTCCAAAGGGAAGAGAAATCACATTTGGCTGGAAGGACAGGAAATACTTTAAGGAAGTGGGTCTGGAGAATCTTCATGGAGGATGAGAGGGACTTGGGAGGCAGTAGACAAGGTAGAGCATTTGGGTACGTTCAGAGCATCAATCTGGGTAACACCTGAGATGGGTTGAAACACACCAAACCTGTTTAAATCCATGAGTTCATCGTGACATTATGAAACAAAAAAATGTAATTGGTGGCTTGGATGATGCTAAGGAGCAAACTGATTACCTTGAAAGTGGATAAAGGAAAGAATTGAGCATTTATCCTGGCTCTTATAATCAAACTGTATCACTGGGTAAGCAATTCTGACAAAGAGAAGCATCTCTTTATAAATATACCCCAGCAAATAAATGAGGAAGAAATGATTAGGATTAGAATATCATCATTTTGTAACCTGGAATTAATGGATCTAGGACAGTGATCTTCAGTGACTGCCAATATCACAAAAAAGGCAAGCAGTCACTTTATGCCTCCTGATGACATTGTACAGCATTACTTATGAAAAACAAAGTAGAATCTGACCAAGCTTCTAGATTTAACTACCAATTTACAGGATATTCAGGAGACTGGGAAGAATGCATTAAATTATACCATGAAGATGCCAACAAAGAGGTCTGCAGACAAATGACCTGGCTTCTTAGACAAATTAAGTTCACGGGGAAAACCAAGTGGAGAACTTGCAGATTGAGTTTTGATTTTTCTAAAATGTTTACTCTTAATAAAATTTTTCAGGTTTTATTTACTCACGGTAAAAGTAAAGTCATTTGTAGTTTAACTTTATGAACAATTTAAAATAAAAGGTTGCATGCTTTTTGTCAGTGTTTCTCCATGTCTTTTAAAATTAATACACTTTTTTTCAAGCAGTTTTAGATTTACAGGAAAATTGAGTGTCAAGTACAGAGAATTCTCATATATCCCCTCAGGCTTTTCCCCACACACCCGTTTCCCCTATTTTTAACATTTTACATTAGTGTGGTACATTAGTTTCAGTTGATGACCCAATATTGACACGTTGTTATTAACTGAAATCCATAGCTTACCTTAGGGTTCATTCTTTGTGCTATACATTCTGTGCATTTTGACAAATGTATAATAATACGTACCAACCATTACAGCGTCTAGAGAGTAGTTTCACCACTCTCCAAATCCCCTGTGCTCCACGTGTTCATCCTCTCTCCCTCGCTGCCCCTGAATCACACCCAATGACAGTAAGGTACCTAGATTTGATCACTTAATGAACGGAATGGTTTTTGGGAACCATAACAGTTAATATAGTTTCTCCAAATTTTCCAGTCTGATTGTTGAGTTTTAGTCATTTATTAAATGTTGTTACTTACAAGTACACTCATATCAATAAGTAGAAATAGTTGACGTGAAAAGTTGAATAATGTGCTAGAAAAAAATCATCCAAGTTAGAAGAGTCAAGAATTTTTTCGAGTTGGAAGAGATTGCAAAGGAGATCTAGTCCAGGGCTGGAAGACAGGTTTCATGTCATGTCCCAACTACATCCAGTGACAGCTTCTTTCTCATTACGATGTGCAGAAGGGTGCCCAAGCCCCATCTGGGGTCAGTGGAAGAGAGCAAGTGCTGTAATCTATTACTAGTTTGTCACAGGCGAAGGGAGGCCCAGCTGTAGCCTGAAGCCCGTAATTACCTTTCTCTGTAGCGTCTACATCCTCACCCAAGGATGAGAAAGTGGAGGCCCAAAAAACTTAAAAGTCTTCTCCAAAGTCACCAGCTAGCTGATGGCTGTGCTGAAATTTAGTGGGTAGGAATTTCATTGTTTCCATTCATATAACCATCTAAAGTAAGTTCTAGACAACTGGTCCCAGTTCTTACAGCCAGAAAAAAAAAATCTCCAGTGTGAAAAATAGATTAACTATGTAATTGTCTTAAAAACTGTAGTGTTCAAAATATGTTTAAAATATTCAGTAAGAAAAGATGTGGTTTAATTGACAAAGAGCTATGAGTCACTAGAAATCAACTGTGAGAAGCTGGAAAAGCAAGGACTGGTGGGAGTCTGTTGGGTCAGAGGATTTCGCCAAGCGAAGCCTTGTAGAGAAAAGTTTTTGTATCTGCATGTACTAGTCCATTTCTGTTGCTTATAACAAAATACTTGAAACTGGGTGATTTATAAAGAAAACAAAATTTATTGCTTACAGTCCCTGAGAGGATTTCGCCAAGCGAAGCCTTGTAGAGAAAAGTTTTTGTATCTGCATGTACTAGTCCATTTCTGTTGCTTATAACAAAATACTTGAAACTGGGTGATTTATAAAGAAAACAAAATTTATTGCTTACAGTCCCTGAGGCTGGGAAGTCCAAAGTACATCTGGTGGTGGCGACAGTGACCCAGGGGTCTCACATTGCAAGATGGTGGAAGCAGAGAGACATACTCTCCTCTTCTTGTAAAGCCCTCAGAACCACACCCCTGGCCACCATTTTAATCCATTCTCTACTGCATGGTCCTACAATCCAATCACCTCTTCAAGGCTCCACTTTTCAATTACCATAATAAGATTTCCCACCTTCTTAAGGGTCACAGTGGGAGCCAATTTTTTTAATACATAAAACTTGGGGGACACAATGCAGGCTTCAGTGAGTTTGGGGAGGGGCATTCAATCCACTATGCTTCATTTGTTTTGTTTTTTGTTTACTCACTGAGAAAGTGCTTGGCCAGTCACTGATGTGTATTGGTGTGTATTGTGTGTGCATGTAAATAGTGTGGTCTAGGTAAAGCAGGTAATAGGCAGGTAACATAGCTAATGAAAGAGCAGGACGTGTTAGCACTAAAGCTCCCTATTGGTGCCACCAGGAGTTGTATGTGTGCACCTACAGAAAACATGCCTAATAATCCAGAATGGATTAGATTACACTACTTATTCTGCCATTTGTCAGCCTCTGGGCTATAATGATATCTGACATTAATGGAAGACTTGATATGTCACCACCGATAGGCATCAGCCATTCCGAAGGAGTAGGTACTGTCATACCCATTTTACAGAGGGAAAAACAGAGGTTTACATAGCTGCACGGGCCATACTGAAGGTCCAAGCCTGACTCCAAAGCCACTGCCCAGAGCCCTCACATAATACCACCTCTCTCACCTAACTTCTTTGAACTTCTATTCTTACTTGTCAGCTGGAGATAATACCAGTAGTAGCGTCAGAAGAACCTTTTCTGTGTGTGTGTGAAAACTTACAGTTTGTCAAGCATTATTCAGAAATAATATGCTGTTACTTATAAATAAAAGATTTAAACCAGCAAGCAGCATTTCATTGTTGTACCATTTATTCATAGCCAGTGAGCACTGTTATTATGTAGTTTTGCTGACAAGTAATTTATTTTCACACTTTATGGAACGTTTTTTCCCAAACACATCATTGATTATTTAGCTAGCTCCAATTTAGGCTTTACTTTTCTATCATAAATTTATCTTTCTTCCTAAATAGTCATGCTTGAAGGGACTGAGTAATTAACTTTCAATGTAATTATGGTTGCACAGTAACACAACACTTACAGGTGTTTTGAATGCTTATTATTTTGGCACAGACATAGTTTATCAGTTTTCATGTCTCGTTGTTATCGCATTGAATCATAAAGACAGATATGCTTACTGTATTGGATGTAAAATGTTAGTACCACATGAACAAAAATGTAGTTTAGCTTATTTGTTGCCAGTTAGTTCATCATAGACTCCAAGGCCATGTTTAAAAATCTTTGAAGGATTAGATGAAAAAAATGATACAGTATTTCACAATAAATTAAGCTGGTGAGTTTTTTTCCACCCAATGACTGCCTTTTTCCTTTCTCCGGATGCCAGCTTGATGGTCAAAAGTACAGCACGTATATAGTATATCTTATATGTGATAACAAAAATCTTCTTTAAACATAATATTTTATGTTTACATGCCAGTAGTATTGATCTGATCATCACACCTTGGGCACAGGTAATGACGGTCAACCTTGTGCCCAATGAATATGCATAATCAATAAAAATATATATGCATTTTTAAAAAAGGATTTGCTCTAAAAGAAATGAAGAGAAAATTTAACACTTTAATACAAGACTGAAATTTTTGGCAAAAAACCCCCCCAAAACTAGCAGACTTTAGAAAGTGATTTGTAGAATTTCTAAGTAAGGAATTAGGATGGAAAGTGTTAAGTAAGAGTCTACCTAAGACAAGGAACAGGGCTCAGTTCTTCTTGGGCTCAGAATCTTATGATACGGGGAACTGAGTTAGGGCATTCCGAAACACAGTTTTTGTTGGTCCTTTATACTCTCCCTGTCAGGGTTTTTATACCTCAAAAAATATTTGAGGCTTCCAGGCCTCCCCCCAGCTACTTCTATTTAGAAATCATCCACTGATCACCTGTACTTACTCAGTGGCACTATATTTTGTTTTTGTTTATTTGTAGGGGTGGGCTTTTGTAGGTTGAGGTCCATTTTTATTTTTAGCCTTTTTACTAAACAGGAGATGGCAAAGTGATCACACTTGCTGGTCACTTACTGAACAATTACAACAAGCAATGTTTTAAGTTTTATCCTGTTATACTTGTGGCGATTGTGAGAACTGTTTCTGTGCATTGACTTGTTTTTCTGTTCTTTTTTCCGTAGAAACGCTCCAGAGGACAAGTGCTGTTTGATAAAGTGTGTGAACACTTGAACTTGCTAGAAAAAGACTACTTTGGGCTTACGTATCGAGATGCTGAAAACCAGAAGGTGAGAGATGAAAAGCAGTACAAAATACGATGGCTTGACCTGCTCGTTACTGCAGGAAAATAAACTCAAACTGAACGGACGATCTTTTCTCCACCTCCCTTCACACTCCCACATTCACTTTGAATCCTCAAATGCTGTTAATGACCTGTTGTTTCATGAAAGAAATTATTGACAACTTCCTTTAGTCTTGCACAGTAAGTCAGCTCATCCGTTGTTCATGCTTGGATTATTTGTGGTTTCAGGAAAGCATTTTGTATGGTGCTTTTTTTTAGATGATATGTTTCAGTGGCTTATTTGAGTCAATGGAAATTAAGTACTTTGACACTTGAGTAAAAATCATGTTTATACCCCAGACTCTATGAAGATATCATGGTTATGACATAAACTGTCAGGACAGTTCACTATCAGGTCTGCTGTCCTATTCTGAATCCCTCTTACTGTGTTTTCATATTGTTACTTAATCAGAATATGAGATGGGTCATTTGCTGACCTGACACTTGTCTAATGCATTTAGTAGGCATTTAATATCTCTAAACACTCTTACCCCTAAGTAATGCGGTCTGTTCAGCACAGGATGAGAGGGACTTGGCACTAATCCACACAGCTGCCTGAGAAATAAGGAAGAGGAAATCATTCCCATCGTGCTGGTGCTGGAGGCTGAGTCACATAAGTGTTGCTCATGGAAGTTACTTGCTTTGGTCTTGTGTCATGATTCACACGTATACCTACTGAATTCACTGGACAGTGTCTTACTTCATTCTTACACAGCTGACTTTTCTGATTGGGAAAATCACAAGTCTCAGGCAAGAGTTCACTTGTTAGGAATGTTTTCCAGATAGATGCCTAAGAATCTACAATCACAGAAGTCACCAATATGGGACTGACTGGCTAGGACTTCAGTGTGTCAGGTTACCCAGATCTTTAGTTTATTCTAGTACCTTGTTTGAACTTAGAATCTTCTGCCATTTCCCCTCTGTTTCTGGGCTAGCTCCAATCCCCGAAGGCAGGGTTGTAGAGGAAAAAGAATTCTGTCAAGCATAAATTGCACACACACGTGTTTTCTCATCTGACCAATGCATCGGCCTCCCAGGGCCTGATGGAGGGTTCCAGAGGTGAGGAAGGACCCCAGTGAGGGGCGCCTTCCCATGGCCACTCACTCTCCAGTACATTTAGGGCATGTCTCTGCCTAGTTAGCATTAAGTCATTTTTATTCTTCACTGATTCAAATTCAAAATGTCATTTCCTTTTCAGAATTGGTTGGACCCTGCTAAAGAAATTAAAAAACAGATTCGAAGTAAGTTCTTTTGGATTATCTTATGTGGTAATGTGAAGATTTTTAGCGTGGGGTTGTCTGAATTGGTAGCCCCATACCCAAGTGGCTAGTGTGAATACAAAGCTTTTCGAAAGTCATATTAAAATCCTAAATTCATTCTGGCAGATTGGTCAGGTCAGACAGTACCCATTTTTTAATCATTACAACTTGGGAATTATAATGACAATGACACTTGGTCTATTCCCCTGCCTGTATATATATATGTGAAGTATATGATTTAATCAAGTGATAATCCAGTTGGCAATTAATCACTTAAAAGTTTCAAACATAATTATTAATGGTAAATTAAGCCTAGCTGCCACAAATGTATAAAAGGCAAGCTAAAAGTAGTAGTCATTTGATAATTTTGAAAAGAAGAACAAGTCAGACTGATGACAGCCTCTTTTCTTGGTCCCTAAAGGCGAGTTAAGAAATATATGTTTCCAAATGGACAAAACAATTCCATGAGCAACTCACAAGATTGAAATACAGAAATGGAATATAAATATACCTTAGTTCTTGCTAGTGAAAATCGGGTTGCAAAATAGTATCTGTAACATAATCTCATTTGTTTTAAAAAGTGATGCATGCAGAGATTCATGGAAAACCTTTAGAAGGCATGAAAAATATTAACAGTAACTACTCCAGATGTGGTATGTGGTGTAAGGAGTCAAAAAAGAGTAGTGTTTCTACTTTTATTTTTTTACTTTTCTCTGTAGTTCTTTTATCACAAGCATTGTTAATCTTTATAATTTTAAATAACGAGTTAATCTAAAGTATTCATATTTCTATCAATAAAATCTAAATTAATTCTTCTGAACAATTAATTGTAGTTGAAGAATAAATTTTAAACCAGTTTATTAATAAGAACATCATTACCATTTCAATAAGTAAAAGTTTTCAACAGTTTACTATTAAAAGGGAGAGCAAATACTTCTTAGTGACTTTAAAAGCTGAGATATCAAAACACCCCAAGTACTAATAAAAAGTAATTAGCAGTGAGCAGTTTAATACTATATAATATCCCAAAAGGAAAAATAAAGTACCTGTACTTCTAGATATCAGAGAGTTTGGTGATTATGTATACAGTTAAAACATCTTTACCATATTTTTAGAGGGATTTAACGTATCCACTAACCAGAAACTTGATAATGAATTAGTTTCATAGAAATAGTTTAATTTAAATTGAAACCAGGAATAGCTACAGTTGTGATAAATACGTGAAAACACTACTTTTTTCTTGTTGTGGTTCTGAGGGGTCCTTATAAAAAATTTAAGATGAATATATCCTACGGCTCTTCTTTTGGAGTTATTAAAAGAAAATGTGCTGAACATATATATAATAACATTTTGTGTACCTAAAGTCCTCTGTATTCATCTAATTAATGAAATGCTGAGCTGATTAATAATTACAAAGCACTTTGAAAATATCTAAAATATTCAGGGGTAAGTCATAAGACTGTTACAAGAATGACTGTATAAACTGATTTTCTTTTCTATTGGTAATAGAATTCTTTTTTTCCCCTTAACTTCCCATTTATGCTGTCTCACCCCTTCCTTGTTAAGAGAAGAAAGTTAAAGGGACCATCAGAACATGAGACTTAAAGGACGTTTTCATTATGCAGGTTAGGCAGTGTATGTGACTGCAACATAAAGAAAACCGACAGTCTTGTGATAAAGGAGGAGATGAGGAAAATTGGAATTTTTTAAAAAATGGAATTAGGTATTTTTATCTATATTCCTTGGTGTTCTCCATCCACTAAAATGATCTTTTTCCATAAAATTTACATTCTGCCAAGGCAGAGGAGTATTTTCATGCCTAACATAATTACTGTACTGTCACCGCCCCCTCCTAAATATACACGGTAAAGGGATGTTTCCATGTTTTTATGTTGTGAGTCCACAGTGTGCCTCTAGAAAGAGATCTTTTTAAGAGAATAGAGATCAAGCTGATAAAGATTTTAAGTTACAAATTTATGATAAATTCTGAAACTAAGTTTAGTCATCTTTTATGCATGCTGACCTTAACATTTCTAAATACTCATATACTATATTTTGTGATTATAAGTATAGAATATTTATGATATTGTAATTTTATGACATACAGTGTGTGATATATAGTAATTTTATGATATAAATGCAGTACATTTTGAAACCTTAATATTTGACCGGCATAGAATAGAAAACTAAAATTAGAAATTTTTCATAAGAGCGAACTCCCTGCATAAGAGCGAACTCCCTGCAGTGTCACAATTTTCTATTTACATAAGTTGGTAACTTAAAATCCTACATCAGCATTATAGAAATATTCGTGTTATGTGTTCAAGCTGTTTCGTTTCCTGCTTCTACCCAAGGTCGGCATCTGCACAGGTTCAGGGCTGCGAGCATACTCGTGGCTGAAGCTCATCCTCCCAGTTGATTTGCTTCTACCATGCTTTTTTTTTTTTTTTCCTTTTTCTCTTTTTTACTGACCGGTAACGGGATCACAACCCTCGGTGTCGCACCCACACCGGGGACCGGCAACGGGATCGCAACCCTCGGTGTTGCGCCCGCACCGCGCCCAGCCGGTGAGCGGGAACCAGTCTCCACATGGGATCCGAACCCTTGGCGGGAGCGCCGCCGCACTCCCAAGCGGCGCACTCTCCAGTGCGCCACCGGGCTGGCCCCAGCTTCTACCATGTTCTTTACAGGGATAGTTTTGAGCTCTAATCTGCCTCTGCCATTAATTTCTACTTTTATGCCTCCTTTAACTGGATTTTTTTTTCTTGATCGGGATGTAGATTCTAGTTTCCATAAACTTCCCATTGTTTCAAAATAATGTTCTAAATGACCTTGTAGTTATTTGGGTTATAACCTCAGGAAAGTAGGTTCCTCAGTCATAGTGATTTTCAAAGTGTGATCCCAAAGCCCACCTGTATTTGAACCACAAGGGAGTTTATTAAACCTACAAATTCCTAGGCCACTTTCTACATCTCTGGAATTAAAAATGTCTGGAGTGGAGCCTAGGAATTGGCATTTTTAACAAGTACCTCACATACTTCTTAGGCCCACTATAGTTTCAAACTCGCTTTCCTAGAATGAAGATTTTTTTTTTATTATTGAGATGTCTTTCCTATATTTTTATTACTTACTAATTTCTAACTTAGAATTTTCACCCTGAATTTATTATAAGACTGTTTAATTACATTGCTAGACTATTCACTAGGTTCAAGGCATACTTTGAGGTGGATAAAAATTATGAAAGAGCAGTCAATTCATTAACCACAAGTAATCCGTTAGTTTTAATTCCTCTTGCTGGGAGGAAAGCCAGCTCTCATTATGAATCTCACTATTGGCAGGCATTGATTTTAGTAGGAAGTGAACAGGAATCAATAGGAAACTAAAAACAAATCACTATTTTTAGAGTAACAGAAGGACTTTTTGAGACTAGTGGGAGAAATAATCGCTGGAAACATATTTGATTGGCAGATATTTTATGGCTTATAATTCTTATAGCCCATGTTTCAGTAATATTTTGAGTGGTTTAAAAACGATATAAAGCACCCAGTAATGCCTGGTCCTGTGCTGAATCCCTTATAGGGACCCTGAGGTAGGTTCCCTGCCATGTGGAGTCTTAAGTGTGATATAAAGGGTAGTGTCAAGAATAAACTAGAATTAAGAAATGGACCCATGCCATTTATGACAGAAATGTAGGAAACCATTTAAGCTCAGTATTGCCGCAAATGCAGGAGAGCAGGGCCAGAAAAGGCTCTAAGAGAGACAACACATCTGTGCCTTTCAGTGAGTATTTGGGAAGGGCTTACAGGGAAGTGGAGTTTGCAGAAGGCATTTGATGGGGAGGAGGGAGCGTGTAAAAGTCTTAGGAGAGTATGTGAAGCATAAGGGCTTGGCTGTGAGGTCACAGAATCAGGGAGTGACAGCGAGCCTGTGGCTGCCTGGGGAGGTGTGCATGAAAGGCTTCCAGGATAGAACCTAGGAGACGTGAGGCATTTTTCAGTAGTTGGCTCAGAATACAAGCTGGGACTAGACAGTGGCATGTTTGGTGTCCTTATTGGAGGGAGAGAACAAATATAAACAGCATCACAGAAGGAATAAATCACTGCATTTAAAAGCCCAAAGGAAAGAACAAAGTGAACAAATTGTAGGAGTGATCATGTAGAGAGAGTCAGTGTAGAAAAGGGTGTCTTTTTCATGGATGTGTTGATAAACCATACACAATTAGAGATAGTATTAATGGAATGTGGAGCTTAGTAAGGTTTAATAATGTTTCATGGATATGTACAGACAGTACAGAGAGTATATACCTGTGAGCTAACATCTGGTTGACCCTTTTCACTGCTGGAGGCCTCAAGTAGATGACACAGGATAGAGAATGGCAAAGTGAAAGGAGGATCACTCCAAGTCATGGGCTAAGGAGGTGTAGAACTTAATAATGCATAGTAAATACATTCAAGATTCTATTACATCAAAAATTTCCCTGAGCGAGAAAAAATTTTCAACAGCCCACAGAGTATTCACTACAACAAACCTTTCCCATAAAATAAAAATAGGTTGAATAGTCCCTTGACATTTATTATTATGGGATTTGAACTGCAATAACAAAGCAGGAAGAACAAAGAAAATGGGAATTATGTCTGTAGTGTCGGTACTTGAGTTATCTAGAAATTCATAACAATAAATCCAGTCAGTTCCAAACTTCTGATTAAGGATTGTCCATATCATTCACTTTTTTCCTTATTCCAAAGGCTTACCTTTGATCCTGAGAAAGGCAGGAAGTTTGGCCAATTTCCTTTCTAGTTAGAAGTGCCAGTAAAGGATTTGATTGGGGAGAAGATTAGAAACTAGATGAGGTTTCAGTCTTATCTATGGATTTCATTTAATGGAGATTTTCCTCTTTTCTATTAATGATCAAAAGTTGCCTGCGTGTTAATGCTTGGATTTAAGGCAGTTCTGGCTATCAGTTATATAAGGAGATTTATAATTGTATAAGGAGATTTTTCTGAGGTTTTATTCTAATGTTTTTCCCATCCCTGCAGGTGGTGCTTGGCACTTTTCATTCAATGTGAAATTTTACCCACCAGACCCCGCCCAGCTATCTGAAGACATCACCAGGTATTTGAGAGCTGGCTATGAGAAAGGCAGGCATATTGGGAGAGTCGTGTTTCTCTTAAATGCTTACATCTGGGAACCTTACAATCATCCACGCTCACTGGCAAACAAGAGGCAACTGAATGAGAGCTAACATCTGATGAGAAGATTTGCCAAACCCTCTCTGTTCACAGTTGAATCTTTGGTGCTAGGCTGATACTTCCTTCTGCCTGACCCTGGTGGGAAAACATGCACAACTGAGATAGTGTCATCCACCCACCACAGCCAAATTGGCTAGGATGTAGCCTTACATCATGTAGCACTTCCAAGTGCTCCTGCTTTAAAAATTAGTTTAAAAATGTCTTTGGATGCTTATGCTTTTTATATGACAAACCTGAACTTGATAGCTGTTTAAAAAGATAAACACACACATAGATAGACATAAACACAAATAGACTTAAAAATTTATTTTGTATGACCTGTATATACAAGAAAAATAATTAATTTGTTTTCTGGAAAGAAGACGTTAAGAAAGGAATCTAACATAAAAGTATTCCAGCTTGGTGACTAAGCTTTGAGTGTGAAAAGGAATCCCTTTATAAAGCTGTACTGCGTGTCATAGTCCGTCTGGGCTGCTGTAACAAAATACCGTAAACTGGGTGGTTTGTCAATGAAAATTTATTTCTCACAGTTCTGGAGGCTGGAAGTTTGAGATCCAGGTGCCAGCATGGTCGGGATCTGGTGAGGGTCTGCTCCCGTGTTGCAGACGGCCACCTTCTTGCTGTGTCCTCACGTAGTGGAAGGGGCGAGGGGATCTCCTGGCCTCTTCTGAGGGCACTAATCCCATTCAAGAAGGCTCCACCTGCATGGCCTAATCACCTCCCAAAGCCTCCTTCTCCCATCACCTTGGGGATAGGATTTCCACATATGAATTGGGGAGGGGACACAGACATTCAGTCTACTGTTCTTGGTTTGCCATGTGTCCTTCTAGGCTTCTCTGCATTTCACTTGGGAACTCCTGACTCTTGCACTCTTTGGTAGTAAGTTTATGACCAGTCAAAGCAATTGTGTCCGGTGTATGCAGAATTTTCAGTATAAGCCTCACATTCTCCTTGGAGGGCTTTTCAGAAAAGGGAAATTACTCAAAACAGCTTCACTCACTTGCTATGATTAAAAATAATTTCACCTGACACATTAGGAGAAGGGTAAAAATTAGTTCCAGAGGGTTTCTTTCATATTTGTGTTAAAACAGGAAATTTATCATTTCTTATTTAAAAATACTTTTTAGTCAATACTTAAGAACTATTTAATTATAGTAACTTGTGGTTATAGAGCCTATATACTGGATTTAAAAATTTAGTGTGTGGTTCCTTTCTGTCTGATTGTATAATGTTTGTAGAGCCTTCTAAATGTTTAAGAATTTTTATGTCTGGATTACATGGAGTTTACTTATATCACCAGCCTAAAATCATACTTAAAGGGAATTTTAAGACTTTATCCTAGTCCTCTGCTTCAGCAGATTAACAGTTCATTTCTTATATGAAAGGTACAAGTGTGTTTTATTATTATACCCAAATGCTAGGCCATGATAGTTAAAATGTTAACTATCGTGATTAAAACCCATCAATGTTAACACTTAACTTTGGTTCTTTTGAAGTTAGTGTTATATTTGTAAATCTTAAAAGCAAAATGAGAAGGCAAGTCAGCTATTAATGGAGATATTTTTATGATATTTGTGGCAAAATTATATAGAAAAGGTTTTATTTTCTCCCAATTTCAAATGTTTACTACTAATAATAGGATTCTCAGATTTTAAGGTGGTGCAGTCATCCCTTGTTATCCACGGGAGATTGATCCCATTAAAATCCAAGGATGCTGAAGCCCCTCATGTAAAATAGCATAGTATTTGCATGTAACCTACGCACATCCTCCTGTATACTTTAAATCATCTCTGAATTACTTTTAATACCTAATATAGTATAAATACTATGTAAATAGTTGTTATACTGTATTGTTTAGGGGAAAATGACAAGAAAAAAGAAGTCTGTCCACATTCAGTACAGACACAATTTTTTCTTTTTCAAATCGGTGGTTGGTTGAATCCACAGATGCGGAAACACGGATACAGAGGGTGGACTGTAATTCTTAAAAGTTACTCTTCATATCAGTTAGATTCTAGGAAACTATCTAAATTTTTAAAAAAGAACTTAAAACAGGAGATATTATTTGTAATTGTAAAGTGACTATTTCCTCAGAAATGCAGGAAGCTGAGTTTATGAAGGGGTAGCTGTTGAGTTTCCTGAAATTTCTTTTGGTCCTATGGCAAGAACTGTCATCTAGATATCAAAACGAGACTTCCTTAAGGCTAGCTGGGACCTCACAATTATATTTAAGATCAATGTTTTTATATTATTATTCCTCCAACCAAGGATTTCAGGGAGTGGCTTGGGGACTGTTCATTTGACTTTAAAAGTTATTTTGAAAGAAGAATGTCTTTAGATTTCTTTTACTCTGCTTTACTAATAAAACCCTGTTTTATTATGAACATTGGCTTGCTTCTAGATGCCCTTAACTATTATATCTTGTAGCCATGTATTTTCTCCTTATGTCTAGATCAAATATGAGATGAAATAAATATCAAAATATATAGATGCTAGGAAACTTGCCCTAGAGGGGTTACTGGACAGGGAGAAATTGTTCGCTCATATTTTATCCTAAGTGCTCTCCTTTTTGTATACCCTAATGCTGGCTTTTCCTTTTGTCCTTCTGGCTCCTGGAAGGTACTACCTCTGCTTGCAACTGCGAGATGACGTCGTGTCCGGGAGGCTGCCCTGTTCCTTTGTGACCCTAGCCCTGCTGGGCTCCTATACTGTCCAGTCAGAGCTTGGAGACTATGACCCAGATGAATGTGGGAGCGATTACATCAGTGAATTCCGCTTTGCACCAAACCACACAAAAGAGCTGGAAGATAAAGTGATCGAACTGCACAAGAGCCACAGGTTAGTGGCAGAAACCCTGAGCACCTTCACTTACATGGTGCCTTGATGGGTGAGCACCACTTGTACAAACCATCTCTCCCCAGCATTGATTTCTGTATGTGAAGGGTGGGACTTTAGCAGAGAGAGAATCCATACAAGGTGAAGTTCTGGGACAAGTCAGCTGTCACTTAGAATATCCAGGCATTCATTTGGAATATTTCTCTTCAAAGCCATGTTTCTTGTTTTTCTTTTCCCATATATCTGCTTGTGCCTTGATGTGGGTTTTCTTATAAGATGCAGGGAGCTAAGGGAGAAATTTTACAGCCAGGTAAAAGAAAAAGCAGCAAACTGATATGAAGAAGGAAAGGCAACTAACTGCTTTTTAATTACTCTAATGGGTAAGAAAGAAAAGCAGCTTTGTAACACATTGTTTTTCCTTATCAGAGGAATGACGCCAGCAGAAGCAGAGATGCATTTCTTGGAAAATGCCAAAAAACTATCCATGTACGGGGTAGATTTACATCATGCCAAGGTATGCATTTTTTAAACCCCAAACTTTCTACTTAGTTTTATTTAATTCAATGTTGTAATTGCTGTAAGATGGTGATTTTTTACTTTAATGTAAATGAAAACTTTGGGTATTTAAATCTGTGTGTGTCTTTTAAGCTCTACTCCATGATAAAACAAATTTAGCTGTCTCATATTTACTGAGGGGTTTCTCTTCATAGCTTGAACTTCTATTACTCCTGGGGTCAGCCTACTGAAAGCCTGCAGTAGGCAGAGCCTCTGATTGCCTGCTGGTGCATTAGAAACTTATGTTTTCCCACTAGAATCGTAGCTTACCCACCTTCCCTGCCATAATTGAACCTCCTGCTCTCTGGCAACACATGCCCTTTGCTCCCATCAGACCCTGTCTCTGCCTTTTCTCTGAATTTGCCCATCTATGACTGTCCTGCTCTTTCCTGTCTTTCTGTTAAACTTGGACTATTGTCCAAGACCCAAGTGTCACATCTGTTGTGTTTCAGGTACTGTTTATGTTCCTGTTCTGAACATCCACTAGGCACTCAGTAAATTCATGTTAAATTTAAAGAACTCTATCTCTGAAGTTTAGATACCCTGACAAATAAACAGTATTTTGAAATAAAATTGTTATTTTAAAGTTCAATTAAAATTAAGCACCCTGGCTAAGGATTGCCTTGCTGACTGGTGGTTGGTGCAAAGTTAGAGAAGTATCTTGAGTACAGAGTCTTGGAAAGAAAAAATTTGGACTTAGACTGCAGGGGGGTTGCAGTCATGAGGATACATAGAGCAGCTTTGACTTTGTGTCATGCTTTTTCAAAATTTCTGTATTTTTCAGCAATGAGAGAATGAGCATGTAGACTAGTCTTACCATTTAAACAGCCATGAATAAAAGCCCTATGGAAATACAGAGAAGCTTTTCTGAAAACTTTTATCAGCAAAATATATGAAATTTGTTAGGCTCCTAAAAGTGGATTTCAGTACCTCAGCAGTGTTTAAAAAGTTATCATTTAAGTTCAGAGGTAGTTCCTTTGAATTTGGTCTTACAAGATAATGTTCCTCCTTTATAGGGATGAGTATTTGACTTTTGATAGAGTTAGTCACCGGTTTCCTGGTCTGGGACTCATAAGAACGTGCAGTTGCAGGCTTTCAGGCAAGCAGGTATCTTACACAAGTCAGGTTTGGAGAATAGAAATGAGAATTTCAGCTGGCTCTGTTCAAGCAAACATCTCAACAACCCTCAGGATCCATGGGAAGGAGACCTGTGGTCTGTAGATTCTGTTGATGCTGGAGGTTGGGCTGCTCTTTGATTGGCACTTGGGGAGCAGACTAATCCACAGTATGTTTGGACAGGAAAATGGTGGCATCGAACACACATGGGTTTGATTGGTTTTGTCTGTGCATTGCTGTGCACATCACACAAGAGGAGCACTTCCTAGGCCTGAACATGAGAGCTCTGGAACTTGGCTGTGGCTTATCCTGGGGATGTGCTGGCACATGGGATGCCAAGCTCTTTGACATCTGTGTGTGATTACAACAGCAGGTATAGCTCTGCTTACCTGCCAGTAAATTATTATACTTCATTTATTTTGCACTCACATAACAAAGATGTTTCCTATTTTATATCAGGTGTAAGGCAGGGTGAGGATTTCAAAATAAAAATAAGGACAGATACTAAATTTTTTTTCTTTCAGAGTTTTTCCCTAGGTGGCTAAAAGGTAGGAAAACAGACTGAAGGAAATGAAGGTAGCTTGAGAATTTGAGTGAATCAAAGCTATTTTTGAGTTATATCATGCACTTTGATTCACTTATTGTCCAGTAAAAATAAATAAATAAGAGATTAGGGGGTATACTTAGGAAAGTGCAACTCAAGATGGATCAGTAAAAATAAAATCATTTAGCATTGCTATAGCTACTGAATTAAAATAGATGGCTGCTTTTTCATTCAATAATGTGATTTGAAATTATGCCGATTAAAAAGAAAGAGAATCAAAGAAGTGCAAATGCAGCCTCTTATAGGATTTTATCTGAATATTAAGTACAACAGATAATTCAGTCATAGACTCCAGTTTCTCATGCAGCCACACACCATCATTTCAAGAAGGAAATTTAATGAATTGAATTAGAGCTAATTTCCGGTTATAAGTGGGATGCTTCTCTTCTATTGATGCTATGAAAGGCCCTGAGCTTTATGATCCATTTAAAAATTCTGAATTGTGATCTTGTACTGTGGCTCTGTATAAAGATTAAAATCAATATTACGGGCCGGCCCGGTGGTGCACTACTATACTGCGCCGCTTGGGAAGCGCAGAGGCGCTCCCGCCGAGGGTTCGGATCCCACATACAGACCGGCCGCTCACTGGCTGAGCGAGGTGCGGGAGCAACACCGAGGGTTGCGATCCCGTAGCTGGTCCCGGTCCGGTACGGGCGCGACACTGAGGGTTGCGATCCGTTGCCGGTCAAGAAAAAACAAGACAAAAAGGGGGAAAAAAAAAAATCAATATTACATGAAGGACCCATGTTTTAGAAAACCTAAATGTGTTTTGGAAAACTTATTCTAAATGCTTTGTTTGTTCTTAGGAAGTCTGTCTCTGTTTGGTTGTCCTTAATTTCAGTCTTCATAGGATTTCTCAGTCATTTATTTCATGTAATATTCTGAAATGTAGAAAAAAATCCATATGGGATGTTCCATGGACCAAGTGATACTGTGGATGACAAAGTTTGAACAGGGATTTTAAGTTGAGGGAGTAGTATTTCCCTTTATTTTCATCATGATAGACTGAGACTATCCCGGTCTACCTTCAGTGCTTCCTGCTAACAGAGTGTAAACATATTTATTGATGGTGAAATGCACATGTCCCCAAGAAAGACAATCCCCAAGATTTTAATACAATACATTTATCAAACTAACCTCAATACTATGGGCAGTGGAAGAAAATTTGATGTGAAAAGTATTGTTTCTGTTGCTGTGCAATTAGTGAAATGGAAGCTTTCACCCTTATTCCTGCCATTTTCATTCTTTCATTCACGTTTCAGCACATGTGGAATGGCTTAGTGCATGGTAGGCAGGCCCTGTGCTGGCCGTGGGGTTATAGAGATAAAACAGCTTCTGCTCCCAACCAGCTTACAGTCTCCAGGAAAAAGAAGAGGAGCAGCAGTTTATTTCATCGCCATTTGCCAAGCTGAAGCACCAGAGATCGTAGACTGACTTGGGGATACAGAGAAGTGTATGTTGAAGGGACAAAGAGGAGGCATCAGAGCCTTCCTCAGGAAGGGATGCTGTTTTCCTGATTCAAAGATGCTAATGGATGATATAAAAATAGTAAATAATGAAAAAGTTTTAAAATGTCCATTCCCTCTGTCGGTTGAGGGCATGTTTCCTAAACTTATGTTCTATATTTATCAAAAATAAAGTGAATCAACGAGGAGGTGGTCACCTCTGAATGGTCATTCAAATAGAACGGCTGGGTCTGAAGGATCAATAATATCATCTACTTGTCAGCATCAGGGTAGAGCTCTTTAAATTACCCTATGAAATTAAAGCCCTTGATAAACGGTGGGAAGTTTCATCTTTGAGCTCTCCTTAAATTTTATTATACTGTAATTTCCTGCCATTAAATATTTCTACTCATGTAATCTGGTATCTAATGGAGTGATACGTTTTCAAAGTACAATATTTCATTTTAAACCAATTATATTCTGTTTGTAAACTCAAATTTCCCAGAGATGGACCAATATATTTTTGATTCTGGAAATGTCCATCTTGTACCTTGACAAGGTTTGGGAAGTAAAATCCCACAATCTGGATGAGTCAGACCCTCCTGCTTAGATTCTTCCATTTTCCCGTGTCTTCTCTGCTGGTGCTGCAGTGACACCAAGCCGAGGTCAGCCCTGCTGATTATGTGACAGAAGACCTGAACGTAGCTTTCTATGTGTGACCATCCCACAACCCTTTCTGTCCACTGCTTCCTACAATAGTGGAATAAGGGTGGACTCTGCACCTCACACACAGTCCTGCCTCCATCCTGTCTTTTTACCCCATTCAGCACCACTACAGATGTTCATTTTACCCTGATTTCAATGCAATATGGCATTAAAGGGGGACAGATTCTATGTGGTATTGGCTCTTGAGCTTGATATAACATCTCTGATGACCTCTGGACATCACGCATCCCTAGGAAATTACCTAAAGAGGAAATGTGCAAGTAGCAAAAGCAAGTTGCAGTTATAGTATGATCCCATTTTTGTTTTAAAAATATGTATATACACATATATAAACTGCATCTATATTTATGTGTGTGAACCATATTGTTAAGTGTGATTACTACCAGGCAATGTGTTTGTGTGTGCGTGGGGAGGGGGGAGTAATTCATACTTAAAAAAAACTGTATTTAAATTTTACTCTCACAATGATGGTGTATTAAAAAAATCAAGGCTTTTTTTAAAGGAACAAAACCCAAAACACTCATAGGAAAGGACAGGGCCCCTCTTGTTAGTATATGTGTTAGTTAAGAGCACTACCTCTGGAAGCCGGCTGCCCCAACCTGTTCAACTGGGGACGGACACTCAACCTCTTCATACCTCAGTTTTCTCATCTATAAAATGGGAATAATAATAGCAACTATTTCAGCATATCATAGTGACGAATAAAAGAGTTAATATAGAGAGAGCAGTTAGATCTGGCTCTCAATAAGTGAGAACCGTAGCTATTATTATTGTTTTTAACACACTTTCATCTGCTCGGCATTCTCTGTATGCAGTATTTATGTCAAAAGTCCGAGATACCTGGGTGAGCAGATTTTATTCTAACAAATCTCCGAAGTGATAAATATCTCTATTAAAAAGCTATTATTTAATGGTAATATTTTAAAGATGACTGCAGTATTTTTAATATTTAAATTAGTCGATTATAGATTCAGTCATGGAGGCTTACATATTATATCCAATTGTAAGTAGAAACAAGTGAAATACTGAGTTGTTTCTTGCTTCTATTTTCCAGGATTCAGAAGGAGTAGAAATTATGTTAGGAGTTTGTGCAAGTGGTCTGTTGATATATCGTGACCGACTGCGAATAAACAGATTTGCCTGGCCCAAGGTTCTAAAAATTTCATACAAAAGGAACAACTTCTACATCAAGATCCGGCCGGGAGAGGTAAAAACACCTGCATTTGTGTGCGCATTGGGAAGAAAGGTCCCTGATAACAAACAAAAATTTAAATTACCTGCTTGTGAGTTCTGAGCATTGTGGGACGTGTGAATTATGTCTGAGTGCCCAAGAGAATTCATGTAGGTTTGTGCAATAAATAGTAATAGATAAGATGTTCTTTATTATGCTGTTCCAGTTTTTCCCACAGCATATGTTAATTGAAAGCCTTTTTTAAAAAACATATTTTAATAGAAAATCAAGATTCATGGATATTTTTTATATATTTCAAGCTGTGGTGAATAGATCTTTTCCTTTGTGTCCTGTGGTTGTCTCAATGCTGCCCGCCCCCCCCTGCTTTTTTTTCCTGCAAATCTGATCACACTTGAAGTAAATAACATAGAGGTTATTTGCTTCAAGTTACCAGTCAGATTAGAACATGGGATGCCAGGTGTGAATTACATAAATGTTCCCCTGCTCAATATATTTCCAGTTTATTTCCACTTTTATTTTTTTTTAAATCAGAGAAGCTAGTGAAAGAATCAGGATTGTTAAGGAATCCTTACTCCTTGGGCAGCAGCATCCATGACCTACTTGTATTTATATTTCCTCATTGGTTTTTACATAATAAGTAGTAAATACTTGCTTTTACTTACTTAAGAAATGGTTAATAAATAACTCCAATTTCTAATTGGTATGGTTAATACATCAGATGGAGTCAGTGCTCAAAGATTCTGGCTCATTTATGTCTCTGAACATTTTCTAGTATAATATAGTTATCTCCTATCTTCAAAGTCTACTTCTCCACTGGAGTTTCTTGGCGGAAAATGCAATTGAAAAAATCAGAATATAAAGCAAGCAATCATGTTTAATGTAACTATAAAATCATACTTGTCTGTGACAACTGAAATAATATATATGCTTTTCATACACTTGAAATTGTAGTGTTTCTAAAGTATTTCCTAAAGATTGTATGTTAAACTTATAACCAATATTTATTCATTTGAATTCACTGGACATTTATTAAGTGAATGTCTATTTATTGTCAGGCATCATGCTGGGCATTGGAAATAGATAAATAGGACCTTGTTCCTGTCATTAAGGGATTTCCTATTTACCAGAGAAACAGACTCACACACTTTTAATTGTAATTCCATGATACAAACGAGACGATGTTCTGTAGATGTGGAAAGAGCATTGTGTTGTGAGAGGCCAGAGGGAGAGCTGGAGAAATGAATCAGTAGACAGCAGTGAGCTGTGGAAGGTTTAAATTAGGACATGACACAACTAGGTGAATATTTTGGAATGATAGATTTCTTAATGAAACTCATCTACTTAGTAATGTGATAAGACCTAAACTAGGGCAGAGGCAGTGGGAATTGAATGAGGAGAGCAAATGTGAGAGAGAGACAGAGGTTTCGAGGTAGAACCGGTAGGTCTTGGAGACAAGATGAAGGGATGAAGGGAGGAATTAAAAGAAGGAGGAGTCTGAGATAATAAGTTTTCAGTTTGCATGAGTGAAATCGGTGGAGATGACATTAGGCAGGACTAACCAGCTTCTCGCAGCAGAGAGCGGGATGACTCTGCTTTATCCCCAGGCCAGCATGCTGTGTGGTCCGTGCTAGATGCAGGATGAAGGAGTGGGTGATGGGTTAGTCAAGAGCCGTGGTACTCCTGGCTTGTCAGTTGACTGGGTCCGTCCGACAGTAGTGATTTTTACAGCCACCACTGCACGGGAACATCCAGAGTTAATAAGAAATTGGGAGAGGCAGAGGCAGTGGGAGCAACTTGTGATGCCCTTCCCAATCCCCCAGTCATGCTCAGCCAACAAGAAACAGAAGTCAAGCGTGATTGTGTCTCACATGCCATGCATATGACCCCTCACTTGGCTCTTTGCCACCTGAGTTACTTTTGATGTCAATTGCATCAATAGTCTGGTCGTTTTGTGCTCTTTGGAAAGCCTTTACTGTTTAAGATGATTGCCCTCTGGTGGCCTGATGTATTCTGTCTTCAGAAAATAAAAATTTTTTGCATATCTGCAATAATTATATTGAAATGTTATGCAGAAATCAGATAAGCTATTACACTGTGAAAAAAATCAACTGGCTGGTAGAGTATCATCTGAAATTTGCATGTTGTAAAATATGAGAATGTGTTCTCCCAGTCTCTGATCTTTTGTATAATGTAGAGGGATGTTTCTATTTAATGTAATTGTCCATAGTGGAACACACGAGTAAAATCAGCAGTATCTGACTTCAAGACATAAAACGCGTAGCGAAAATACATATTTCTAGGCCAGATACTAAGAAAATATGTCATTTCTAAGAATGCTGTAGACTAGATCTATAACATTTTGTTCATTTCTGTACATTCTAGTAGAAGTCATTGTGTCATTGAGAAACTTAAAATAAGGCTTAAAAATGAGATCAGGACAAATTGATCTTTGGAGCGAATCCAAGCATCCTCCTTTTTATGTTTAGTTTTCATAAGATCCATACTTGTGCAGAAAACATTTACTACGTACATCACATGGTTATCTATACCTGCAGCATTTTACAGGGATAGGTATAAGTTGTTTTTAAGTGAGTGAGTGTGTATGGCATGAGTTCTGCATATAGCAAGCAATTTAGTGAGTAAAGAAAAAAACGTGTGGGTGGCATTATGACCTGATAAGTTATTTGCAGAGCTTCTGTTATTTGTACTTCCAAACTTGACTCTACACTTCAATATGTCTTTTTAAAATTTAGTTTGAACAGTTTGAAAGCACCATTGGGTTTAAGCTGCCAAATCATCGAGCTGCCAAGCGTTTGTGGAAAGTATGTGTTGAGCACCATACCTTTTTCAGGTAGGCAGAGGTCATTTCATGTTTTTTTCCTAAGGAAGAATTGGAATGATTGTGATCACTTACACTGAAAAGGGTTGTTGGGAAGAAGAATATGGAAGCATGTTCTTTCCGTTCCTGCAGGTTCACTGTCACCAGATTTCTTGATAAGAAATTCTAAAAGAAATTCTGACTAAAGTTGAAGGATTTTTCTTAATTTGTCTTGTATTTATCTGCCCTACCCCTTTTATTATCTTTAGTGTCTTTTTGTTATTCTTATAGGCACTTCAAGTATCCAATCCATTTCTTACCATTTCCATAATTTCTCAATACCCTGGACTCTTTACCCACATATAGTACTAGGCCCATCAGATTTGTGCCCACAAAATAAACTATCGCTCTTCTACTAACATCACCTATTTAATTGCTCTTTGGACTTATAGAACCATAAACTCTCCACTTGCCTGAGCTGTTGAAGTTCATCTGGTCCAACCCAATCCCCGTCTTGCTTATATCCTCTGTACAACATCCCTGGTTGATATATACTGTGTGAATTGATATTTTTCTTATAAAATCAGATTCAATTTACTGCAGGTTGTGTTAAGCCTTTAACACACAAAGCATATTACCTCTCATAAGAGTAAAAGTGTAAAACACATTCTTAATGTTTGACTGGTCTTTCTGGTGTTTTTCTTCAACATTTGTAGATTGTTGTTACCAGAAGCACCTCCAAAGAAATTCCTCACCTTGGGTTCCAAGTTTCGTTATAGCGGCAGAACGCAAGCGCAAACAAGGAGAGCCAGCGCACTGATAGATCGCCCCGCACCTTACTTTGAGCGCTCGTCCAGCAAACGTTATACCATGTCTCGCAGCTTGGATGGAGGTAGGCATCGCTTGCAGGCCCTTAGTGATTACCAGTAGCTACCCGAACGGGAGTATGAAGCTGTCGTGTGCTTTCAGTAACATTGATCCTCTTGGATGTTATGAAATGAAAAGTAGTTGTTGGTCTGTGGCTGAATGGCAAATTTTTAAGGCCCTCCTCCCCCACCAAGAAAGTGCCTTTGTCAGTCTAATGTCTGTTATTGGTAGATTTATATAAAATTACATAAAAGGATGGTATGTAGGGAATGAAGAGGATAACTTTCATAAGCTGGCAACCTGGATTTGGAAAAAAGTGCTGTCATTCTAAATATAGTAGTCACATACTCTGTGAGTTGGTTCTCTTGCCAGCAGATCTTAAATGATTAGCAGATTTGTTTTAAACCATTTCATAAAGAAAGTTGTAAGTTAAATGTATCTGTTTCTAGAAAATTTTCTGAATAAAATGTGGCCTTTACCAGTCAGTTGATAATAGCTGGTAGAAAGGATGACATTCAAACCACAGAGGAAAGTACTCTAAGTTAAATTCTCCTAATTAATACTAATTACTACAGCAGATGGACTGGGAGGACATTGCTATGTAAGTGTTCTCTACCAAGTCAAATGTGTGAGACAAATGAGTGAAACGGAGATGATCACTCACATAACCTTTTCAGGGAATAACATGACAGTGAGCTTCTAGTAGGTGTTAGTTTTATTGAACAGTTCTGTACTTCTGTCCCTAGTAATGTGGAGGTGTGCTTTCTGCTACAAGGCATGCCGGCTGTAGTGCTGCTCCACTTAGGAACTGAAGCACAGCCGGGCCTCTGTCTCCTAATTCATAACAGCTGGAGACTAGTTGTTTTATAGGAGACCTATTCTGTGTAAATAAAAGTTGGAAGTTTCCAGCATACATGTACAATTTTAATAATAAGCAAAAATATAAGTAAAAACAAATAAAAGTTACACGTGGCTGGGACCGTCTTTTTTGCCACTGCTCCCCAAAGAGTCTCAGTTCTCCCTTCCCCTTTCACTACTGTCCATTGAGTTTGACGAGCCAGTATACTCCCACAATCCCCTGATTAAAAGTACTGTATTCTCCTAACTGAATGCTTTATGAACAGTTTATGGAAGAAACCAAAATCGTATTATTAGTGCTATGTCATGTATGTTACTAGTGAAGTGGGAACAACACTCATCTGCATAGATAAATCCAGATTGAAGGCTAAACTCTGCTTCCTTCTGTGCAATGGTTGCAAATGGTGTCCATTCTCCAGGAGGTCTCTGTATTTGTCATCTGCAAAATGCAAGTGAGGCCACCTTCGACAGGGTTGGTGTGAACAGTAAATAAGATATGTATGTGAAATCACTCTTGTTATAGATGTAATTATAATGATCTCAATAATTGTATTGATAATTCTTCTTTGTAATTTTTTAAAATTTATTTTTTAATTGATTCATAATAATTGTTCATATTTATGGGGTGCAGTGTGACATTTCTATGCATATACACAGTGTATAATAGTCAAATCAGGGTAATTAGCATATTCTTCACCTCAGATGTGTATCATTTCTTGTGATGAGAACATTCAAAATCCTCTCTTCTATTTTGAAATGTATGATATATTATCATTAACAGTAGTCACCCCGAATTATTCTTACTGGCTTTTGTGAACTGGCCTAGGAAGTTAATTGCCACTCTGTATCTTCTAACAGTTTCCAGAATACCAGACTTAGAACCAACCCTTTGGAATGAAATATCGGACTGTTTTGAGTTGAATTAAGACACTGAAATGTCCATGTTAACATTAAAGCTTTTCTTCCGGCGCTGTCCCATTTACTCTCCTTTCTCCTGTTAAGTATTTGTATATTCTGTACATGAGCATTTGAGGAACTTTTGTAGAACCACGCCTTTTTTTCCGGAATACCACCCACGTTGTTTAGCGATGTGCACTCAGAGGAACACATTTATTGTGAATGTTGTGTTCCTCATGGCCTTTTGTGTGACCGTGACTGCTGAGAAGACTGAAGACCGTTGTGAAATCAGTGTACTAATATCATGCTGTCTCTTCCTCACTGCCCCAAAGTGATGTATGTGTTGTCTCTCACTCTTTGCGGTCCTGCCAACTTTAGCGTGTGTTCTGCTGCTGCTGAGCTCATCCCGTAGCTGCATGCTGGAACATAAACTGCTTTTTGCAAGGTTGCATCTTGTATACAACAGCCTAACTGGTCCATCAGGAAACTGTCTCTCATCAGAGTTACAAGATGTCTTAGTGAGAATGTTTTAGTGAGGGGTCTAGCTATTAAAAGGATTTCGAAAGGGATTTCATTTCAGAATCCTTTCTTTTATTAATATTCTGAAGTTCCTAAAATATGAATGCAGACTATATTTTGTCTGCAATTAGCTATTGTGTATTCGAAAATCAACATTTATAAGTTTTAATACATTTATGATATCTAAAAGCTAAAATAATGAGTGCCAAGTTTTAAATTTTAACTAAATCCTTTCTTTCGCTAAGACATTTTTGCTGGGAAGAAAGGCTCTATCTTATATCTCTTATGTTTGCATGCTTTGCATTTGCATGAATTTCATTTAGCAACATTTGTCTTGTTTTCCCAAAATATTAGAGATGAATGAATACATATATATATGCATATCATGGTAGTCTGCTTAAAACGCAGTAAAAATTAAAACATTTTTGTATTTCAGTTGAATGAAATTGCCATCTTAATTTTATAACCTCTGCCAAGATGGTTAATTTTCATTATTACTTGTAGGGCTTTTATATTGTAGGAGAGATACACTTATCAACACCAATAATAATAGTAACAAAACCAATTCAGTGCCCCTTGGCGAATGGCACTTCCAATGATATGTTCAAATTCAAGTATATTAGAGCAATAGTCTGCTGCAAATGCTGCTGTCTGTTGTGGAATGTGCTCCTAGGTGTCCGGTGCTGGTGCCCCGCCAGTGACTCCGTGGAGTAGCAGGCTCAGCAACAGCTGGCCTCACATCCTTCTACTCACCCCCACCCTCACACACATCCTCCCCAGAGAGCCCGAGAACAGATGGAAATTGTTCTGAACCTTCAAGACGTGAGCATTTAAATAATTTTAAAACACTGGTACAGGTGGTACAGAAAGATGAGTTTATTGTAGTGCTTAGCCGAAGATACCTGAAGTGTTGATTTTGTCTTTTCGAGACAAACCTGGTATTTTGTGGTGGTGTCTTTTTTTGTCAGTAGTAGGACAGTTGGTGGTGTTGATCTGTCTTCTGACTTAACTATTTCAGATTTTGTTTCTTCAATTGTATTTGCTTTTAGCATCAGTGAATGAAAACCATGAAATATACATGAAGGATTCTATGTCTGCTGCAGAGGTTGGTACTGGCCAGTACGCCACAACAAAGGGCATCTCTCAGACCAACTTGATCACCACTGTGACTCCGGAGAAAAAGGCCGAGGAAGAGCGGGACGAGGAAGAGGAGAGACGGAGAAAGGCGGAGGAAGCCACACCTGTTGCCGTGATTCGGCTGGAGGGAAAGGTATAGCTCCGGGCTGCCTCGTAGAGCTGCTTCAGCTTTTAGAATGCCTATATAATTCTGAGGATGTAAACCCGGGATGTGTTAAAACTTAGGGTAATTCATATTTAGCACTGGTCACATCCATATGTCAATTTTAAAATTATTATTTCTGTTTCAGCATTTTTCCTCTGAAAGACATTTTTAACTTTTTGAACATTTGCAACTTGTATGCTATGTAAGACTTTCAAGAGCTGTCCTGTGTGTGTATCTTAAAAATACTTCTGGTGGCTTATTGCACTTTTCTGTTTGGACTGATATTTTAGAACTGTCACTAAAGCTGTTTTCTTTGTTTCTGGCCCCATTCTCCTACCCAAGTATGGCCTAATTGACTAGATACACAGCAATCATGTTGCCGTTCTCCTAACTACAAGTACACTGAGTGACCCTAGCCTGTGTTCCTTTATACACTGGTTCCTTTCTTAGTCTTACAATTATAATCTAATCAGCAAAGCAGTGACTGGCCAAGTTTGAGAAAGGGATATTAAAGCAGAAGGTTACAGTGGAGGACAAAAAGTGAACTTGGCAACAATTTCTCCAGGTATTTTATTTATTAAATTTTGTGACATCGTTTCACCCAAAATTAAATTTCTTTTTAAACATTATTTCAAAACATTGTTTATTTCTGGTGATTTAGCACTATAAAGCAACTTTTCTGAAAAATAATTTGAAAGTCAAAAAGCACATTGGGAGGTTTATACAAAAATAATGGAAAACAGACTGGTTCCTGGAATGTACAGAGTGACAGGAAATCATAGAATAAAAATACTCGTATAATCTAGAGGTTATCCTAAAACATGAGTTTGGTTCACAAGTGCTGTTTTGCACGTGGGCTCTTCAAGAATAGATGTATGTGACAGAGGCTCACCACCTGGGAGTCTATAGAAGAATGTTCCTTTTGATACGAACTTAATAGTGACATCTTAATTGGTAGGTCAACAAATAGATAATTTTTGTAGTTGTGTTAGAATATTCCAAATGACTCAATTCATCACCTTTTTCTTTCTTTCTTTTTTAAGTTTAAGATTATTTGTTTGCAAAAACAAAAATAAAAACGGGGTAGGAAATGATGGGGGAGGATGTTTGGATCACTTTTGCTGTTAAAATGAGTTTTGTTCTGAATTTTGTTTTTATACTCTTCCTGTCAGTTAAGTCAAGGAAGGTTTTAAAGGGGACATGAAGAGAACATAACACACCTGAAAAGCAAATGTGTAGTTCCAATATGTAGTTATCCCCAAACCTCCTGAAATCACCCATACCAGCAGATGATTCTCATGGATGCATAAATGTGATTAAGTGGCACAGAAAAGCAGATGATTTTTAGTTTGCTCCCAATAGGCCCAGATATTCTCACTTTGACTTTAAAATACCACCAATTGGGTTATGTAAAAGAACGCACTTCGTGAGCTATCCTCACTTTGTGCCATGTATGCCATGGGAAGATAAAAAGACAAAGACAACTACTACCCTCGAAGTCTGAGTCTCTGAGAAGCCAGTACTTCGAACAGAATCCCTTCAGGAGGGCTGTAGCTGAGATCCAGTGCTTTACTAGGTGATGAATTTATTTCTGCAGTGCAGAACTGTCTTTTAAAAACCAGTTTAATAAGCAGCATGGAAGATTAAACTTTAATTTTATTATTCTCTTTAAAAAGTGACATAGACGGTACTTATTTTTAAACAAAATGAAAATGTGTTACTAAAAATAATTCTTATAAGACTGGTCCCCCAGATTGCCTGGAGAGGAGGCATGGATCCCAGGCTGATGATCCCCAGTGACTGGATGGCCTCTCGCTGCTGGAGGACAGTTGTCTTCCTGCAGAGGGCAGCTTGTAATTTCTTCATTATTCTTACTTGAATGAGATTTGTGCAGGTTCCTGTTTAAAACAAAGTGTTTGATGTTAAATGTGAGTGTGTAGGAAAAGATATACTTGTCTCGTGGTAAAAAGAGACACTTCTAATACTAATATACCCAGGATATAATTTTATTTGTGCATTTTCTTTCTCTCTGTTGCTATATTTAGCACTTCTCTCCAAGTCAGGATTGAAAAACCACCACAAAGCAGGCTGAGTAATTTCCATGCTATCAGGTTGCTAGGTAAAACACACACACATGCACGCACATGCACACACGTGTGCTGTCATATAGCAACAGAAGCGTAATTATCTTCAGGCTCCATGTGACCTTGCCTTGACCTTCCCAGGCTGTCACAGCTCCTGGCCGCTGCTCGGGTCCTGCTTGGGGCTGGCTTGCTGTCCTCCTTCCCCTATGAGTCCAGCAGCCCCTCTGCCACCTGCACAGGAAACTGGATCTGTCACTGACACTGCCAGGCCCAGAAAGAATGAGGACTAGACTCTTTTGCCCCATGAAAGCCTGAGCTCACCAGGGAGCACTTTTGTGAGAATGCCTACTTTTATAAGGGCTCAACCAAAGGTATAAACATGGCCTTTATCTGCTGAGAGAAATCAGAAGGCTGAGAAATTGTATCTTTCTATTATTTATGGACCACAAATAGTAGAAAGTAAACACAAACCGTGTTACAAGAAAACATACTCCTTTTGCTAGTTAGCTTGTTGAAACCACTTACTTGAGTTGAAGTTCCACTTACATCCTGGATAAAAGAGCCTAAATAGAAGAGTTTTTCAAAGCAACCTCAATTCTTTGTGGGGAGTCACAGCGTCTGAAATGCTAATTGTCGAATCCCCTGATTATTACTGCTTATCAGATAGGAGTGGGGCCAGAAACTTGTTGATTTAGAAACCCACCCATTTTGGATGTAATTGACTAACCAAGCAAAGGAGTAAAGCTAGAGATTTTTTTAAAAAATAACCAAAATTCGGATTGAGTTTCATTTTCATTTTTAATCCAGCTCAACTGTAGTAACAGATCTGTTACCTAGAGATCAGGAGAAGGTTATTGAAAGTCTTGATTTTAAGTTATCAAAGAATTAAGTTTGCTCTCAAAACCCTAAAACTTTCTAGAGTTGTTGATCAAAAATGAAATTTTCTGATCGTGCGACATGTGTAGATTTTGGGATTGCCCACAAATACCTTCTGTTCTGACTTAAAAAAAAAATCCTACCCTATCTTTATGGTCTAACGGGAGAACTGTAGCCATTCGTGGCAACGTTGGCATGCAGCTTGAATACTTTAAAATTCATGAGCAACCCTGGTGCTAAAATTCTTGTTTTACAATTTTATATTGAAACCCTTAAGAAAATTAACTAATCGCAGTTTTCTTTTTGTCCTTTTGCATCTCTGTTTGCTGCTTTCTGTCTCTCTCCATCTCTTTCCCATCAGTCACCTGGGCTTGGCACTGACTCATGTTCCTTGTCACCCCCACCTGCCAATCGTGTCCCCGCATCCCCCACAGAGCTCCGTAGGAGGTGCAAGGAGAATGACCGCAAACCGCCAGGCGGCGCGCCATCCAAAGCCGAGCACGTGCCCGGAGAGCCCATCCTGGACTCTGATGGCCAGGGGAAGCCTTACCCAGGGGATCAAGATGTGGCTTTTAGCTACAGACAGCAAACCGGGAAAGGGACCACCCTGTTCTCCTTCTCCTTGCAGCTCCCTGAGTCGTTTCCCTCTCTCCTGGATGACGATGGGTACCTCTCTTTCCCCAGCCTCTCCGAGACCAGCTTCCTGCCCCGGAGCTTGCGGCATTACCTCCCGATCCGCTCACCCTCCCTCGTGCCCTGCTTCCTCTTCATCTTTTTCTTCCTGCTGTCCGCCTCCTTCTCAGTGCCATACGCCCTCACTCTCTCCTTCCCTCTGGCTCTGTGCCTCTGCTACCTGGAGCCCAAGGCAGCCTCCTTGAGCGCCTCCCTAGACAATGACCCGAGTGACAGTTCAGAGGAAGAGGTGTGTACCTCGGCATAGAACACACTTCCCTTCGTGTTCCGTGCTTCAGTCCTACAGTGTTAGCGGCTGCTGCGACAGTGCTCCTACTTTCAGAGCCTCATTACTGTCTGTGCCAGTATGTTGAGGTTTTCGTGTGGCGGGGGGAGTCCAACCTGGGCCCCAGGGTTAGGCACAACACCATGTGGACGTAGCAGTCTGATCCCAGCCCAGAATTGTTCTGCTACCCACTGAGCTCTGGGTGGGGTGAAGGACTCAGCCAGAAGTCAATTTTAAATACCCCTTAGCTGTGTGAAAGATCAGGGCTAAGTGAAAGGTTCTGTTCAGTTATTTCATAAAGTCAATCAGCTATAAAATAAGTAGCTTTCAGCTTAAATGATATTCAGGAGAGATGGGAGAGAACCCCGCCAGAAAGGATGTAAGGTCATCATCTGGGTAGCTTTCCAAAATTGCAAATGTCTCCTCCCTGGAGATTCTGGAATGCCCCGCTGCCCCTTTTGATTGTCATGGCCTGACTGCCATTGTTAAATTGAGGTTGTGGATCAGATCTCATGATGCTTGGGTCAGAAAAAATGTCCAGAGCAGTTTGAAACACCTACATGACATCAGTCCTTGATAGAGCCAGAATCAGTACCGGGAGGCACTGTGTGCAGTGCAGCAGTATTCACATGCACTCAGGAAAGGGCTTATTTGAGGTTTCTATATGTTATAAAAACTGCAATTTCGTCAGTGCTAGAATGCTGGTGCATGTATCAGATGGGAGCATAAGCCCAAAATCCCATTTCAACAGTGTGGTAAGGTCAGGGAAGTAGGGCAGGCCTCTGCAGCTGTCAGCCAGGCGTGGACATGGTAAAGCAAACTCCCTGGGCCTTCAGTCCCCATCCTTTAAGGCAGCCACTACCTGTCAGTCTCCTGTCCCTCATCCCAGCAGTTGGGTGAGTTGATGTCATAGCCAGTGGTTTTTCCTCTTAATTGCTCTCCTTTCCCACCACTCCACAGCCCTATGAATAGCCCAGCAGTTTCCCTTTCTCCAAGCTTCAACCAGGGCGCAGGGAAAAAGAATAGAAGCTGCCACCAGAGGTGCCAGCTGTCATGTGCTGTCCTCTGGCTCTCCTGCTCCCACAAAGCAAGGGCTTTGTGGCAGGAGATAAGCCAAATACTCATAGCATTTAAAAATAAAATTACAAAGTCAAAGCGACACTAAAATAGGAAAGAAAGTCTATTCAGTTCTATGCTTAGCTTGAAAGTCAAAATTTGAGCTGCACCTGTGATTATATAGAATTGTGAGCATGTGTAGATATCTATATTTAGTGGTATTTTGACCATTTCTTTGCAGCAAAAGAAAAAAAATGTGAGTGGTTTCACAGGTGTTTTAAAAAGAGTCCAGGCTTTTCCATTTGATACTGCATAAGAGACCTTTTCAAAGTTTTTGGGTAGTTCATGTCTATTAGCTCCAACTGATACACACGGGTGTAACTATTTTTATACATAGAAAATATTTTGAGAACTACTTTAAATCCTATGCTTTAATATCACTATTTCTCACAGTGGCAATATTATCAAATAGGGTAGGTCTAGAACATACTACAGTTCAACACAATATTATCTACAAAGACCGTTTATCATATTAGCTGATGTCCAACCTGGGAATAATATTTTTCCTCTGGCAGTGGAGTTAGTCATCAAGCTAACATAAAGCAAAAAAGATTGTTGTTTTATGCATTTCTAAATTCCAAATAACTGTTTGGACTTTTATATAGCAAACCACACAGATCTTGTGCCTAATCCAGGGTGTACATCTTGTTGTAATCAGTGCATGAGAATTAATGTTCAACTTGGGCATGTCTGCATTACATGGGCAAAACAAATCACAGCAGTTAATTGTTGCAAGCTAGTGAGTGCATGACTGGAGCTTCCCAGTCACAACTGTCCTTGTTATTTGAAACCTCTGAAACCATGAATTAGCTCTGACCACTGCAGGCTTCTCTATCCTCTCCCCAGCCTTGCTTAGCCTATTACAGCCCTCATGCCGTAGACTGTGTACTTGGCCATCTGTTCAATGTTGTCTCTTAACCCCAAGTGTTAAGAGCTGTGCATTCTAGTTCAGGCTGAGCTAGAGACTCATATTTAGGTCATTCAGTTTTTTTAAAAACTGCCATTTGCTTACATGGCCTGTTTTATCCTCTCGGCCTCAAGCACTTTGGCAGCTAAACTGGGTGACTTCTTAACATACAATTTGGCTCTGTCACATTCGTTTTGCAAAATCACTGATGACTATAATTCTTATTAAATATTTTATCATCACTGCTTACATTTTTTATTTGTTATAGTGGCTTAATTAGTTCCATCCTTTCTCAAGAGGGAAACCCAGTACAGAAAGGCTTAATCATTTCAAACCATACAGCTGTTGGCCAATCTTTTTTTTCTTTTGTACTTTCAGAATGGGCAAATAAGAAGGGGTGGAATATCACATCATCTATCAAGAAACATAAGATAAATTTAGCTCATCATACTGTCCAATGTAATTATGTGCGAATTTCTGGATAATTTTTTGATAATACAGAGAAAAAAGATGGATTAAAATCTGCAGGAAAAATTAATTGGTCGACTGATTTATAACATTTTAAATTATGTAAATATAGTATTATATGATAATTCATGATAAGCTATACATTTGCAGTTTTGTGTAGTCATAATATGTTACGTAAATAATAGTTGCTATAAATGCTGCTTTATTCAGCCTTTATTGATTATTGATCAGGTACTATGTTTGTTCATCAACTGACTAGGTGCTAGGTAGGAATTTGAGGGATTTAAGATAGAGCCTAAGCTGCTTGGTCATGTATGGTTAGGAAAAACAGTAGCAATAATTATGTAATATTATATTAATATTAATGTATTATAATTATAATAGGCATTTTTAATTCTGTGTCTGCATTACATAAAGCATTTAGTATCGATTATTTGATATAGTAATATCAACGGGCTGTTATTTTCCCCATTTTACAAGAAGGAAACTAGGATTAAAGTATGACACACACCCAGTGTGTCACAGGTTTGAGCAGCAAAACTTCGAGCTCACATCATTCTGACAGCAGATTCCTTGCTCTTAACTACGACTGTCCTCTAATGATAAAATGCGTAGAAAGTTAGTGACATAAATTTTAAAACCATAAGGGAAATAATCTGTGTAGGAGGAGAAATACTTTCAAGAACTTGAGAAGTGTTTGACTCAACTAATTAGGACACTAAGCAGAAGTCATTCTTATTTGTTCTCGAAAGCCTGAGATCGTTGAGTTGTTCCATACACTTGAACGAGTAAGCTGTCTCTCTCTTACTAATGCAGACTGGCCATTCCCTAGGCTGTCAGTTGGTGGAGCCATATGAAGGTACTTCAAAAAGTTTGTGGAAAAATAGAATTAAAGATAATATGAATCATTCCATGAACATTTTGAAGTATCCTTGTACTAATACCATAGCCATGATCACCCTTATAAGAAAATCAAAACTCCCCTCTCCCCCAGTTGTTAGCCTCAGTGGTCAGGTCATGAAAATGGTCAGCCTTCTTTCTCTACCACCCTATTGAAAAATATTTTTTGCTTAGGCTTAGTAGGTTGTCAGAATGCCATCCTCAGGTGCACATGGCAAGCATGCATTTCAACTCCTTTGCTTTTAGGAATATATAAAATGAAAGTTTGGGATAGTGCCACAAAATCATTCTAGCTAGAACAACACTGTCCTGGTTGTCCCTTCTTGACACCCCTTGTTCTTTGAAGTTCTTTGAAGTAAGAGATAAATTAAGAGGCAGATTCATAACCGTAGAGCTCCCAGTTCTGATTTCATGTTTTCAGAAATATTAATTGCATATCTTTGGTCAAGGGAATTTTTTTAATGATTAGTTGATATTTGTGGAGGGAAAGTCAGTTAATATTATATTCGGGCCTTTAGATGTCTATGACTCTACTCCACTGAGATGAAATAGTTTGCTTTAAATCATAAAACCATATAAAAGATATTAAAAACCAGTCCTGAAATTACTATCCTAATTCTCCCCGAAAACCTAGGCTCTGTCAAATGCTGTGCTTTGTTTTATGTGTTTCCAAGTAGATGTCTCTCTCTGTTTTTTTAAATTATTATTATTATTTTGCTTCATTTGAATGATACTTTTGGAACGAGATGTTTAAATACATACTTTGATTGGATAAACCTCTCTGGATTGGAGGGTGGGGCAAAATGAACACAACAGATAGTCTTAAAAATATCTAGTTAGCAGTGCTACTTGAACATCGAGTTACATTTTTCATATATAAAATATATGCCCGTGAGTTGCTGGCATGTGCTTTTTATAATTAAGAGGTATTGCAGAAAGCCTGATGGTCATAAATGGGTGTAAATTATCAAAACGGTATAAATGAGGGGCTGAAAGTCCAGTGACTGTTTTCAGTAGCTTTTTATATAAATTGACATTTTTATGTACCTTTCCAATGTGACATATTACCGGAATAAAAAATATGTAAACATCAATTTGCATTAAACTTTTTTAGGAGAGCTTTTGGGGGTTTTAGTTAAAAAGAGTAGGAGGAGAATGACAAATTGGTTTTGCTGAGACATAGAACCAGACGGGTCAGTTTGGCTCTGCGGTCCCTGCGGCTCCTGCCTCGGGTCCTCCTCCAAGGCGCTCTACTGATGACACCTGGCTCCGGCCCTTACTTTGCTTTTGCTCCATCATGCACTTTTGTGGGAGGTAGTATGGTGCAGATCACAGAGAGAGGAAATGAGCTGTGACCTGTGCCGTACCCTATCTGACCAGATGGGTTTATTTTCTTTCCCTGCCTTCCTCCTGGAACCTGATCCATTCTGTGGTCCACAGACTGACAGTGAGCGGACGGACACTGCGGCCGATGGGGAAACCACCGCCACTGAGGTTGGTGTCAGAACTGAGGGTGGCTGGTAGTTGCCTAACGAAAATGCCTTGTGGGGGGCTCTGCATGTGAGAACTCTGCATATTAGCTTTTGGAGTGGAGATCAATTCTAACTTTAACAGGGGAATTAAACAAATATTTTATTGCCTAGGTCAGTGGTTCTCAAACTCTATGTCAGAATCACCTGGAGGGTCCCAGGCTCATGTTTCTCATTGGGAAGGGCAGGGGTAGGACTTGCGAATTTGTATTTCTAACACGTTCCCAGGCGCTGTTGACTCTGTTAATCTTAGGATCACCTTTTGAGAAACACCTGCCTAAACTGATCATACTTTTTGCAAAAAAGTATTATCATATCCCAAATAAGCTATTTATGTATGCTAGCCATGTGGGGAGAAGGGTCACAATCAATTTAATTAGCTTATTAGCTGGAGACAGATATATTTTAAAATTTCAAATGGTGAAACAATTCTTAAGATAATACTTATCTTTGTAGCCTTCGGCTACAGTTTAGGTCACTTATAAGAAATGAATTCTCTAAGGAAAAGAAAATTTCAAATTTCTGTTAGTACACTATTGAAAAGAATGTAATCACTTTGAACAGTGGTAGAAAAGATACGGTGCTGTTATTTCTCTTATTCTTTAGGATACATAAAATATATGTGTTTATGTGTATGTGTGGCTTCTATTGTTCTTCAAATCTTCTCTACCAGAAATTTCTGTAAAAAATTTCTGTAAAGGGCTGAGCCCGTGGTGCACTCGGGAGAGTGTGGCGCTGGGAGTGCAGCAGCGCTCCTGCCGCGGGCTCAGATCCTATATAGGGATGACCGGTGCGCTCACTGGCTGAGCGCGGTGTGGCCAGTCTCAAAAAAAAAATTTTTTTTTCTGTAAAAAATGATATTTATGTATAGTAATGGAAGTCAAGATGTTTATTTCCCAGAGCGATAGCAGAATTTTGTTTTTACTTTGTGGTAATGTTTACTTTAGATCGTATGTTATTTTTTTACATCATCCAGTCATCGTATTTTCTAGTTGCATGTTTAGGAAGGACTAAAAATGTTGTAGGTGGTATGTATGTCACTTAATGGAAAACATTTTCAAAAATATTTCATAATGGTATTTTATTAAGTTTCTTCCTTTGGAAATGCCAGAGTTCAATTCAGAGCTTGCAAATCATAATTTTTTTAAAGTTAATATTGTAAAACCTATTATCCAGATTCCTTTAAGCAATCATATGAGTGTATAAATCTATTACAAGTTAATAATTTTCTATGCTAAATATAACAAAACTGCCCTCAGATTTTATAGGAGCGAGTTACATGTAGCTCAAGGTTAATACATTCAGTAATAGGATTCAGTTTCATTGGAATCCTAATATGTGCTCTAAATGAAAGATATCTTAATAATACATTTCTGTAACAGTTTTAAATTTTATGTAGCACTGAAGCATTCCAGTGAGTATATGTAATGTAGGAGACTGTGAAGCTTAATAATAAAATGAAGAGTTGTGAGCCCCCCATACACTTGAGAATTGGCGTGTCACCTGCACTGTGTTAAAGTTTCCTGTGTGCTCTGTGACACTTTTTAAATGCATTCCCTTCCTTTTAGATGGCCAGCACGACAGTGGTGCATTGTGGGACATGCAGAGTAGGCAGTCTTGTCCCCCCTGGCAGATAAGAAAACTGAGACCCAGAAAGCCTAAATGAGTTGCTTAATGCCATCGCTCCTGTGTGACCCTTTTCTCACCTGTGATTTCACTCTGGGTCCCCTCTTTTTTTTTTTTTTTTTTTGTGACCGGTAAGGGAATCGCAACCCTTGGCTTGGTGTCGCCTGCACCGTGCTCAGCCAGTGAGCGCACCGGCCATCCCTATATAGGATCCGAACCCGCGGCGGGAGCGCCGCTGCGCACCCAAGTGCCGCACTCTCCCGAGTCAGCCACGGGGTCGGCCCCTGGGTCCCCTCTTTTAGCACCAGGGCATAAAGCCCAGGCCCTGGTCACAGAACCGTGGTGAGCAGCACAGCTTTACCTCTGCGTGCATGTGTGCAGGTTGGCCTGCTCACTACTTATGGGTACTCAGACACCAGCCCAAGGATTAGACATGTCCTTCAAATTAGAAAAATAAGGATAATGAAGGCTTTGGAATAAGTGTATTTTCTAAAAACTCAAAAGTTGTCCTGTCTACATTTGAAAGAAGTGATGGTGTTGATAGTTTTTTTTTTTTTTTTTTTTAACTTCCTTACTTACCTGTTATTAGTCTTCTCCCCTCCTAGATTTGTTTTAAAGTACATAGGTTCAAGAAAATCAAGGTTCCGGGAGATTTTAAAACATGGGAACCACTGCATTAAATTTTTTGAGCTTTGGTTCTCCAGTCTACAAATCGGTGATCATAATAGCTAACCTCACAGGGTTATTGTGAGGGTCTGTGCATCACAAGGGAACCCTCATTATTGTGTAATCAGAGCCATTCTTATGAATGTTAACTTTAATCCGGCTCCCACACTTCCCGAACCATTTCTGTTGTTCGTTAAGGACAACCTGCCAAGCCCTTGCTGTCACCTTCCCAAACATGCGTATCTGCTCATTGAATGCCACAGACCCACTGGGCAAGGAATCTTTTCCTGCCACATTCTTATTAAGCTCCCTAATTAGTGTGTGAGAAGGTTATGGTTTGTATATGTGAGAGGAATGGAGCCACACCCACGAGCACACCATTGCCCACATTTAGCAAGTTTAGAGACCTTAGTTCTTTAGTCTCAGAGTAAATTGCATGGTAAGACTTTATTTCCCACTCTTTCTTGATGCCGGCAGTCGGACCAGGAGGAAGATGCAGAGCTCAAGGCACAGGTAGAAAATTTTTTAAAAAGCAAAAACCAGTGTGTGATAAGTCATTGTTGTCTACAGCGTTCGGATATCTCAGCATGCTCTGTAGCCAGTGACTGTGTCGTTGGTGTGTAGGACGGCATTTGTTCCCTTGACTACTGTGTCCCTTACCTTTCCCTTTCTTCTCCACTTTTTCAGAATAGTCTGATTAAGCGAATAAAGGGTGAAAATGTGTATGTCAAACATAGTAATCTTATGTTAGAGGTTGGTATTGGTATATACCAGTGCATGTCTATGTGTCGTTTTCCTTTGAGTGGCTTCCCTGTGGGCTCGTTCCATGATGCATGAACTGTGTGCTCACCTGTTAATAAGTGGGGATGACTTCTCAGCTTACTCACTTATTCTCTCCTAGATATAGATCCCTTTTTCTGTGTGTGTATTTATTTTAAGTCTAGTTATGTGTGAATTTCACTCGTTACAGTTTACCTTTTAAAATTCTTTTGATTTTTATGCTTGTGTGAACTAGATTGTTTTCCTCTCTTTTTCCTGGAAATATCACATTTTCACCAGAGTGTGTGTGGTGATGTCATGAGCCTTCATCAAAATTCTGTTTTATTTTGGTTACTAATAAGATTGACATTACTAAAAAAAAAAAAAGAAAGAAAGAAAGAAAAGAAAAACAAATGTAAAACGTTGGCGATTGAATTCTTTATGTTCTGAACGTAGGAGCTAGATAAAACTCAAGATGACCTGATGAAACATCAAACCAACATTAGTGAGCTGAAAAGAACCTTTTTAGAAACCTCAACAGACACTGCTGTTACAAATGAATGGGAAAAGAGGCTTTCTACCTCCCCGGTGCGACTGGCTGCCAGGCAGGAGGATGCACCCATGATTGAGCCCCTTGTACCTGAAGAGGTCAGTATTCGGGGTTTTGGTAGGAATTGTCTTCTGTTCACTAGCCTCAATTCTCTACAGGGTCTGAACTGGGAAAAGGATTTGTCAGCTCCTGAGTAGAAAATCTCACGTTTTGTCTATTTTTAACTTGAACTGAGATGCTCAGTGCTGTGAGGGAAAGCTGCAAAGTAAAAGGATTAGGTGGCTGAGGAGTGAGTAATGGCATCGGAGGGTGCTCAGAGTGTGACCAGGAAGCCAGGAGGAGAAATTGAGATTCTGTCTTAATGAACTGACTCTTTTTCTGAATACACTTTCTTCTGGTGCTGCATTGAGAAATCACCTGAAAACTCATGTTATGTTTCTCATCAATTGCATGATGAGGCTTACTGAGATTGTCTACTGTTTGACTAAATGGTAATCTGAGGTTGATAGCATTTCAGGACATAGTTTACTCTGAGATACTACACCAGAGTTATTTTGGTATAATGAGTGTTTGATTTTTACTAATAACAGACTATTTTAACTGATTTATAATTGGTTTTTATTTGATTTTTTTCATAGGGAGAGTAGGGGCCAGAAATCTCTTTTTAAGTAAGGCTCTTCCATCTAGGAAAGCTCTCTTTAAATGTACCACCAGAGAGTGTGACAAGGCAGCTGTTGTTACCTCAGGGCTGCCACTGTGTGGGACCCACAAAGTGCCATTGCACTGATTTTACTATCTACTGTTAGGCATCATCGTGCTTTATCTGTCTTTTAAAAGAAGTAGTTTTTGAAAACTGCATCTTTCAGCATTGTGTGGATTAGCTGCCTTCTTATGAAGACCTCTTTATTGTGAAATACTTGTCCAGGAAGCTGAGACAGAATAGAAAATTAAAACTTAGGTCTTTATGGGAAGAAAAACCCTTTAAACGGTGGTCTATATGCAATGCTTAAGTCCTTGCAGTGAAAATTAGAATCAAATTACGTTCTTTGTTGATCATTTTCTATACCTTCTTTGAAAGCTATTTGTCAAAAGTAACCAAGATCACTATGTTTATGACAATTCCCGTCCCAGCTAAAAATGGAATTAAGGGCCCTTTGTGCAAAATAAATGAAAAGTACTATGAGGGTACTTCAGAAGTTGATGGAAACATTTGTATCATCTTCCAATTCTATTTTTCCACAAACTTTTTGAAGTACCCTCATATTACCAAAGTATTCCTGTACCATTAAATACCAGTTCCATTCAAATTACTTGAGTTTCAAGAGACAAAAATTTCACATTCAGATTGATTTAAATATAATAGTCCTTGCATTAATAGAATACTACTTATCAGTTATGCTCTCATAAATTTTATTGTAATTGTCAAGTTTGGAGACCCTGTTTCTACTCTCTTGGAAATAATGTGCTGGCTCTAAAGATGTCAGATACTCGATTAAGTTACAAAAACACAAAATAAATAGCCACCAAAAACAGAACAAAACAAAAGCCAAATCTCTCTTCCCATGCTGTTATTTATGAAAATGGTAGGCGGTAGCCACTTTGACTGAAAGTATAGTTAATAGTTTAGAGAAGTTAAGGGTGGTGCTAACCAACAGGGAGACTGTAAAAGTTTAGGCCATTAGACTTGTAACTTTTTTTAACTTCCGGTTAAACCCTGAAGCTTGGAAAATGATACTTGATGAGCCCCAAGAGCATTAATAATTTAAGGAGGTGATATACTGAGGACACTGAACTTGCCCTGGATGTTAATACCTTTTCTGTGTCAGTGCAGAAAAACCAGAGAAGGCCAAGAAAGGATTTTTCAACATGATTAAAGGATAGAAACATGTCCCCTGCAGAAGATCAAAGCAGTTTGGTTATTTACACTCAAGAAGACCAAAGTCTGGCTTAGTAACTGCTTTCAGATGTCTGCTAAGTTTTTATGCAGCACCTCAGTGCTCTATGGACACTGTGAACAGAGAAAATAGCAGAAAGAGTTTGGCTAGATTGAAAGAAGAACTTAAAAACTAGGCTGATTAACCCTGGCTACCAAAGGAGCGCTGGCTGAGAAAGCAGCTCTAAGGAGCTTAAAAATCGCAGAGGGAGTGAGATCTCTTTAGGTGGGCAATGCTTCCCTCGAAGCAGAGTCGTGCAGATTGGCCCATCCATGGCCTTCTGCTCTTCTCTTGATAGTCATTCATGCCATCCAAGTTTGCACTCCAGGTGAGGACCTGTAGAAATCCTTAAGAACAAACCAGAAAGCTCCCGTGCTCCCAATTATTGTCAATGTCTATATTAAAACCATGGCTTCTGTTCGTTGTTTCATGAAAAGCACAAAAGATAATTTTATCCTCCCAGCAAGGCACCTACAAAGCATATTTGTTTACAAACACATAACCAAAAGAACCAAAAGATTTTTATTTTCAAAGGGAGGCATTTTTCAAAGTAAATTACTAATTTGATATCACCCTATTATTTAATATAACCCACTTTAAATTAATTAAACAATAATCAGTTTAGAAAGAAGTTCAGTTATTTCTAAATGGAAATATGTAATTTAACTTAATTTTTTAAATTGACATCCCAAATAAGGTAATACTATTTGTGCCAGAATTGGAAAGAAATTGAATTGATTCAGTGACCCCAAACTTATGACCCCCAGCTTAGCTGGATTTGGTTTTGTTCTGTTTTCTTTTTAAATCTCAATGATAAAACAGTATTTTGGAAAAAAATCTAATGACCTCTGATTTTTAATATGAACAGTTTTTGTTTTGATTTGTCTATAATGATTGAATCCTAAGTAATCGTTTTTTTCTATATATGCTACCAATTTATGAACAATTAGAAGAAAATTAGAGTTAGAAATATATATAATGAACTAATAATGATGATTATATTCTGAGAATTTTATGTATGTTTACTAATAAAATGGGATTTTGATTGCCAGTAGTTTCAAGTTTCAAATATTTGAATTAATAACAAGTAGCAAGGATGCCCCAAAGCAGCAGATAATATCAAATCTTTGTTAACTTTGGAAAGTAGACAAACCCACATACAGAGCGCACCAAGCATAGGAAGGGTAGGCATATGTATATGAAGGGTTTCAGGTGCATCCTCTGTCCACAAACATTTTCCACAACGACCTTTTATGATGAGCCTAGGACTAGTTTATGTTAGAGAGAGATTCCTTAGTGGCTACTTCAATACCAGAAGTTTTTAAATCCCAATCAAAAAGCAATACCCATTAGTACCTATGCAGCACCAATGTTGTCTTGTTTATGTGAGTGGTAGTTTTACAGTGGTGTTCACTATACAGTAATTCCTTGAGCTGGACACTTAGTACTGTCGACCTGCATTATTTGTGGACTCTGTCCTTGCAAATTCGCCTACTCCCTAAAATTTATTTGTAGAAACACTTTATCACCCAAGAGTGAATGACACCTTTGTGAGTTTTGCATTCTAGTATAGGGCCTTATTTCCCAATTATGATATGGAGATGAATGTTTATGTAAGTAAAGGAAATGATTGGGGTATAAATCTGACTATATTCTAAACCTTAATATAATTTTTAGATTAACAGCTTTTCTTTGTCAGTACTATTTCACTTCTCTATTAGCTGAACAAACCAGGTTGAGAAGTTGGCCATATAGAATTTAATTCTAAAATTTATCTCATATTGTTTCTGTTATTGGACATACATGGTTCTGAATATAGACAGTATTGACATATTCAATTATAAGACATACACATTTTTTAAATTAGTTGGTTTCAGACAACAGGATATGCTGAAAACCACTTTTGCTGGGTTTGGGCTTTTTTTTTTTTTTTTTAAGCTTTTATCTTAGGAATAATATTTAGCTCAGTGATTATAATTAGAGGTCTAGTAGTGTTTCTCTGAAAAATACCTATAATTTGTTTCCTGTTTCTCATTTCTGTTGGAAAAAGAGGCTGTGAAGAAAACACACACAAAAAAAAAAAAGAAAGAAAGGAAAGTCTGCATTTAATGATTCCACATGGTACATTTTATCTTTTCCAGTACCTTCGTCCAAAATGCAGCAGCAGAACAGGGAATTTTTTTTCTTTCTCCTTTGAAAATGGCTTATTTGTCTCTCCTTAGAAAGGGTCATATGAGAATGGTCCTATCAAAATCTGTCAGTAGGGGGCCGGCCTGGTGGCGCACTGGATAGTGCGCCGCTTGGGAAGCACGGCGGCGCTCCCGCCCGAGGGTTCGGATCCCACATACGGACCGGTTCCCGCTTGCTGGCTGAGCGAGGCGTGGGGAGCAACGCCGAGGGTTGCGATCCCGTTGCCAGTCCGCGGTCTGGTACAGGGGCAACACTGAGGGTTGCGATCCGTTGCCGGACACGGAAAAAGACAAAAGACAAAAAAAAAAAAAAAAAAAAAAAAATCT